GCTTTCGGGCTCCTCTTCTTCATCTTCGTAATACTCATCAGCTGTGGCGTCCTGGTACTGTTGATACTCGGAAACGAGATCATTCATGTTGCTTTCTGCCTCCGTGAACTCCATTTCGTCCATTCCTTCTCCAGTGTACCAGTGCAAGAAAGCCTTCCTTCTGAACATGGCAGTGAACTGCTCGCTCACACGTCTAAACATCTCCTGAATGGAGGTTGAGTTTCCAATGAAGGTTGATGCCATGGAGAGTCCTTTAGGAGCAATGTCACAGACGCTTGATTTAACATTGTTTGGAATCCATTCCACGAAATATGAGGAATTCTTGTTCTGAACATTGATCATCTGTTCATCAACTTCTTTAGTACTCATCTTGCCCCTGAACATGGCAGAGGCGGTGAGGTATCGGCCATGGCGTGGGTCTGCAGCGCACATCATGTTCTTAGCATCCCACATTTGCTGTGTCAACTCTGGGACGGTTAGCGCTCTATATAGCTGCGACCCGCGTGAGGTAAGAGGAGCGAATCCCACCATAAAGAAGTGTAGACGAGGAAAAGGAATGAGATTCACAGCAAGTTTTCTGAGGTCAGAGTTAAGCTGACCAGGAAATCTGAGACAGCATGTCACTCCACTCATTGTAGCAGAAATTAAATGGTTGAGATCTCCAACTGTTTCAAGAGTAAACAAGTTAAAAAACGAAACAAATTAAAGTGATACAGTAAAAGTTTCAAGTTATCTCTATCTATAGGCGCATCTATATGCATCTTACAACTCATTTAACATGTGTCATGTGCAAATCTCTATTTTTGAAAGAGAATAAACAGAGCGGATTCGGGTTAAATAATTGGACAATGACAGCAAAAGTTATCTAACAATTGCAATCATATCTTAATTTCAGAGATCAGGAAATTTTCACAGGAGTCTTGATTAAGTTGAATTTAATGCTAATTGGTATGTCTGATCGTGAATTTTTATAACTAAGTTACCCATATAGATTAGAATTGCTCGAAATACTGAATCAAATTCTTCCAAAATTTTGATTTCCTCGTTTTCAAGCAATGATGCGTGTTATACTTACAGCTAGGAGTTGTTAACTTGAGAGTCCTGAAGCAAATATCATATAATGCTTCATTGTCCAGCACCATGCACTCATCCGCATTCTCGACAAGCTGGTGAACGGAAAGGGTGGCATTGTACGGCTCTACAACAGTATCTGACACTTTTGGTGAAGGGAAGACGGAGAAAGTAAGTAACATCCTGTCCGGGTATTCTTCTCTGATTTTGGAAATCAGCAGAGTCCCCATTCCAGAACCCGTGCCTCCACCAAGTGAATGGCACACTTGGAAACCTGTAACAACACAAAAACGAATAAGAAATAGAAATGCCAAGCAAACAAACTGAGATGAAAACACTTGAAGAATCAGAAATCCCATGATCGGAATCTGTAAATTTCCACTTGATGAATCAGAAATCCCATGATTGGAAGAAAAAATAACTTTTTCTATAGTATGAATGATGCAACCTATTACTTCTCGATGAAGTTGTGACAAAAACAAACTGTTGAGGATTATTGGGAAAAGATACATCTTCATTGGTACGAGGCCTTTTGGGGAAACCAAAAGCAAAGCCATGAGAGCTTATGTTCAAAGTGGACAATATCATACCATTGTGAAGATCTGTGATTTCTAATACAAACAACATGAGGATTGTTGAGGTATCGGTTCATAGTGATCTCTCGTTAATAAAGAAGAAAATGTTTTGGGATCTTATGTGTAAGGAAAACAAGAAAAATCCTCGTCTTGGGCACAAAATTAATTAAGTAGTTGATGAAAGTGGAGCTCTTTGACATGTGCGTGGCATTTCCTACAACAAGCAAGAACATGAAGAAGATGCGCTAAGGAGGGATCAACACTTTGGCACACGCCCAAGTGCACTTTTTCAAAAAAAAACAACAGTAAAAGCAAAAGAGAATTAGCAAAAGAAGACGTGAACATACTTTTTGGCACTTTGGAAATCGTTTCGACCATAGTATTTGAAAGAGTTTAATACTATATTGTATAACTCAAACAAAAATGCAAGGCACGTGGGGTGTGAAAAGGCATTTCGATACTGGATCCATTGTTTAACACTCTCAATCATGTCAAAAGATCTCATCCTACATGAACATCCGAAAATAAAAATGAAGGGTTCATTAGCAAAACGACTAATTATAAATCTAAAAGCTTCAACTTAACACTTGTTAGATCCAAGCAATACCATCTAATCAAGCGCATGATCTGAGACAGAGACTATACCTTGAAGACAATCACAGTTCTCGGCTTCTTTTCTGACAACATCGAGCACAGAATCAATGAGTTCTGCTCCTTCCGTGTAATGCCCCTTGGCCCAGTTATTTCCAGCACCAGATTGCCCAAAGACGAAATTGTCCGGCCTGAAGATTTGTCCATAAGGACCCGTTCTCACACTGTCCATGGTACCAGGCTCGAGATCCATGAGCACAGCACGAGGAACATAACGTCCACAAGAAGCCTCATTGTAGTACACATTCACACGTTCAAGTTGCAAATCGGAGGTTCCAGTGTATCGGCCAGTAGGATCTATGCCATGTTCATCACACAACACTTCCCAAAACTTGGATCCGATCTGGTTACCACACTGACCTCCTTGAACGTGAAGGATCTCCCTCATCTTCTCACTGCGATCAACAACACTCCGAAGTTAATCACATAGTTCGATTGACATCAAAATTAGAAAAACACATACACAAAAGTACCAAAAAACCTAAAATCAGCAAGATCAGATCATTAACACACCGAAACTCAACTCCTCTGCATTGAATGCATTAACTTCAAAATCATCATAGACATTGGATCGGAAGCTTTCCAAACAAGGTGATAATAATTCATATAATGCAGTGAAACTCAAGCAAATCATACAACACAAATCACAGAATCATGACATTTCGGTAGCAGAATACGACCACAGAGCTAAGCAGAGTTCAAATAAACCCGATCACTTGCAGTTTCAAGAAGAAAAAACAGCGATATGAAAATCTCCGCAACTTCCACAGCGAAAGAATCAAATGCAGTAATCAGATCTGAGAAAATTGGATCTTACCAGCAAGATTCCGGTGATACAGGGGGAAATGGGGTGGAGTGAGTGGTACGTCAGCTACTGGGAGCAGCGAAGAAGAGAGTGAATTGAGGAGTGAGAGAGAAGTGGCTTATATAAGAATTTATGGAAGTTGGAGCGGGTAAGGATTTTGCATCAAACGGTGGAAGGTCAAATCTTGGGCACAATTTCTTGATTTTTTTAATTCTTTTTGACGGAAAATTCATTGTTCGTCGTGAATATATATAATTTTTAAATTTTATTTTAAAATTTAAGAATAAAAAGAAACTTTTTAAAATGGTTAGATGAACACACTCTCTGCAATAGAATGATATATAAGCTAAGGTGAGACTTTCATCCAACATCCAACACCTCCCCTCGAACAAAGTATACTCTCCACACTAGAATGATATATAAGCCGATGTGGGACTTTCATCCAACATCCAACACCTTCCCTCGAACAAAGTATACCTCCCCTTAATCGACTCTCCACAATGGTATGATATTGCCGATGTGGGACTTTTATCCAACATCCAACATCTCCCCTCGAATAAAGTATACCTCCCCTTAATCGAGACTCGACTCATTTTTCTTTTAGAGTCCTTTGTTCGACAGGATTCTATTGACATGACTAAGTTTAGGACATGGCTCTGATACCATGTTAGATGAACACAACTCACCACAATGGTATGATATTGGGGAGTCTCTATTGACATGACTAAGTTTAGGGCATGGCTCTAATACTATGTTAGATGAACATGACTCTCCACAATGGTATGATATCGTGGAGTCCTTTATTCGACATTTGAAGATTCTATTGACATGGCTAAGTTTAGGGCATGACTCTACTACCATGTTAGATGAACACTACTCTCCACAATGAAATAATATTGTCTACTTCGAGCATAACCTCTCGTGGCTTTGCTTTGGGCTTCCTCAAAAGACATCAAACCAAGGGAGAAAATATTCTTTGATTATAAACCATGATCATTCCATAAATTAGTCATAACAAAAATATATAAATATAATTGAAATTTAGTTACGAAAAATAATTTTTATATTTATCGACACTTTATCAATATTTTTGATATTTTTCTTGACTTCAATATTTAAATTTTAGAGTCGTTTGGTTAAATTGTTTTTTAATTTCTGTCCAAAAATAAAATATTTGAAAATAAAATTGTTCAAATTTTTATTTTATTTTAAATGGATTATTATTGATTTTTTTTATGAGGTTTATATTCGTTTGATGAAATTAATACATTAACTAATCAATTAATATTGTATATAATTTAATTGATTATAAGCGCCAAATATTGGAATGACTTATTTTCGTGTCTCGTCCTCTTAAGAAATCGATTATATATTCTCTTTTTCATTTTAATCTCATTAATAATATGTTAACAGTAAACTCGATCAAATCAATATGACAAATTAAGATTTATTAACCGTGATTGAGATACTTATTAACATCGATTTTACTAAAGTCACTCGTACATAAAGTTTATAATATTTAATCAGAATAAGGCGACCCGCTCGGTAAAACTTTCGAGTTGATCGAATATTCTTAATTTTCGTAAGAATCTTAGAAGACAAGTAAGATTCTGAACCTTATTTCAACCGACCCATTTTCAAAGTTAAAAAAGTATATCAAAATTAAATTTGGATTATTATTCTAAATTGTTTGGATCATCGAGTCGTATGAACCCTCGTAAAATGAGGTAATAATAATAATTATAATATTTTAAATAATTGTAAATAATATTAAAAATAAAAATCCGGGGAATATGAGTAAGGATGGACGTGGGGCATTGGTACGGAAGCGAGTGGCGCGAGTAGTAAAACGCTTGCCACGAGTTAAATCCCATCATAGCTCATACGCACTGACCCGACGACCGACCCAAGCGCAGCACTCAGCAGCAGCCTTTTATCAAGTCAAGGACGGAGCCAATCCTCCTCCTCCTCCTCCGCCTGCTCCTCCTCCTAGGGTTCCACTGGTTCCAGTCCAATCTTATTTACCTGTTCTCTCACAAGCTTCTCCTGCTGATCGTCGTTTCTCATGGAGGTAACTTTCTTCCCCTAAATCTCTTCTCTCTTCCTTCTTTTTGCGTTTCATGTCCCTATCTTTAATTCTCTCTTTGATGAATATTATTGTGCCTACTTTTCTTCCTTTTTTCCGGATTCCGTTTTTCTTGGCTGTTGTTCACCGGATGGATTTATTCTGTTACTGGATTCTTTTACTTTTTTTAATCTTGTTTTCATTGAGTATCGGAACTGGAGAGGAATGGCTTTGTTATCCTTTTCAAATGTATTTTCCTCTTGAATTTTCATTCTGGCTATCTCTATTTGTAGTTTTTGCGATCTTTTATTACTGTTCTCTTCGGGCTAGCTGCTTGTTGCTTTTCGCTCTGGAAATTGTGGTTTTGAATTCTTTGATTCTTTATGGATGTTAGGGTAGGCTGTTTGTGCGTGGTTTAATTCACTGAAAATTTGTGTCGTGTCGCTAATTTATAATTGTTAGCACTTGTTTATCATTTCCTTGTTTAGTTGCTGCTTATATATCACGCAATAGATCATGTGTTTCTTGTATATTTTTAAGTTTTTCTTGGTGATGATGATTTTTTTTTTTTTTTAAAATTCGTGTAGTCTCCAACGATGGACGAAACTAAGAATTCTGAAGCGCATTTGACATCAGCTGCAGCTTTTGTCAAAGGTGGAATCCAGGATGCTTGTGATGACGCTTGCAGTATATGTCTTGAAAACTTCTGTGACAGTGATCCTTCAACGGTAGTACTTATAGTGTGATTTGATTTTTAATCGGAAGTCAGATGGTTTCTGTTCTACTTAGTCAGTTGCTATATTTTGTTCAGATGACCAGTTGCAAACATGAGTTTCATCTGCAGTGCGTTCTTGAATGGTAATTTTTTTTTTTTTTTTTTTTTTTTTTTTTTTTTTTTTTTTTTTTTTTTTTTTTT